TAGAACTTCATTAACTTTTGTTATGCTATAGTTTCCAGCGTCAGATTGCGCAATCGATGATCCAGTACTTCTACTCTCAACTATATCGACAAGGCGGTCAATTTGTTGAGACAATTTAGCAACTCCTCCAACCTTCACGTTTCCTTTTCCTTTCTTGACTCAATTGGCCTCTTATTCTTACGGTCTTATGCCAATTCACTTCGGATTGCTTCACCTAACTCACCAATACTCTCGAGTTGTTCAGATAAAGTAGAATTATCATTTCCACCTTTATCAAACTCACATGGCACCTACCCAGATGATGGTGTCCAAGAATATACTCCTGTGGCCACAGTATTCATGAACATCCTATTTAACTTTTCTTCTAACTGTGGTTCAATTCCCTGAGTGCGAAACCTCGATGCGTTGGGATGAATCTGCAATAGCACTTGAATAAATTAAACCTGTCTAGTCCAACACTAGAATAAACAATGACAAACTACATAATTCTATATACCTGCAATTTATTATCCCACCACTCCTCAGATGCATCAATAGTATTCTTCGTAATGTTCCAACCTATACCAGTTTCTTTACCAATAAGTTTCTTTCAAAGCTTCCAATCATTCTTCAAAGCATCCCATTTATTCTTCAATTGTTGTCTTTTTATATACTCGTTTGGTTGCTTCATTAAATTTCTGAATTAAATTTTCCTATCCAACTTTATCCAAATGAGTTCCAGGACGGCGTCCAGCTTCCACCTCTATAATACACAAATCACAAAATAGATCCATAGTCTCAGGGTCTCATATTGCTTTACCTTGTGGTATACTACCCTCCATTTGAGAATTGATAACTGAAAGTCTAAAATAATGTGAGGCTTCATGCTTTAATTTACAAAAATAACAATAATGGTAATACTAACCTTATTTCCAATTCGAACACTCAGTCAATAGCCAAACTAAGCATAGCTTCTAGTCCTAGATGCTTCACCTAAAAATTGGCATAAGAACTAATGTATTTGATTGAAACATCAAGATCATCGTTTAATGAAAAAGAACGGATGCCCTCATTACTATTTTTTGGCGTTTTATTATCTTTTAAAGTTATATGCATTTGTCATACTAGTGAAGAAGTTGATGTTTAGCTTTTCTTATATCTAAGTCAAGAAGTTGATATTTAGCTGCTTGCATATAATAAGACAGAACCTAATTATGTGATTAAGAAACATGGAAATGTGTTGAGTAAAAATAGTTATCAATATTAAAATAATATTTCACACACAACATAATTTCACCTATATTAATATTTAATTAATATAGGAGTTTATTATTTTTAGTTCGACTCATTCAAGATTATAAGAATAACCTCTTAATTACAATCCCTTGGTACAAGGAAAAACCTTTTGATTCCAATTAAAACAGTAAATATTATTTTTTGTGAATTTGGAAAATTTGGGTTGATTTAAAATTGCAGCTGAACTCGATGAATTTAGCCGAGTTGCCTACATATCCTATTAGGGGATCAAGCCACTTGTAGTTCAAATTTTAGGTTTGAGAATTTTAGATAATTCCTCGGTGTATGACCTTATGAGGAATTGATGCACTTTGAAATTTGATTTAGTTTTGTTTTGATTTTGAGGATTTTTAGGATTGAATTTGATCTTGAAACTGCACATAAATTTTAGGTTGTCTACGTATCCCATAGGGAATCAAGTCAATCGTAATTCTTGAATTTGAATTTGGATTTTGGAGAATTTCCCGATATATGACCATAGGAGGAATTCAAAGATATTTTAAAATTTAATTTGAAATTTTACGTTAGAATTTGGATTTGAAAGTTATATTTGGGTAATTTCCCGGTATATGACCTTATGGGGAATTAAAAGGCTCCTTTTTGAATTTGGTGCTGAGAGATTTTTTTTTTCAATTTGGGATTTAAAAATTACATTTTATCACCATATAGTTTTATGAGACAATGAGCTCATCTTTTTGAACTAAGGGGCAATAAAGGGGCTCAATTTGTGCACTTTAAATTTTTAGGTATTTAATATTCCGAATTTCTTTTAAATTTATTGTCTTTCTCCTTTTTTTTTAATTTTAAAATTCAAAATCAAATCCATCATTTGGATAGAATTTATTATGATTTGATTTGTTTAGACTGATCTTCTAATCTCAAAAGAAATTAAAATTCCTTTTTTTTGCTAACAATTTAATTTCAAAAGAAACTCAAATTTCTCTTACCCTCCTCCTTTCTACACATTTCTTCTTCTTTTATATATGTATACATACATTACGCTGCAAAATAAAACATTACAGGAGCAACTTTTATATATATATATATATATAAAAGTTGCACCTGCAATGTTTTGTTTTGTAGCGTAATGTGTACACATTACGCTGCAAAGAAAAAAAAAATCAGGTGCAACTTTATATATATATATATATATATAGATACACATATATATACACGTGAACATCAATTCCCATCACACCCACGGCTTTATGTGTGTATGTGCGTTTTGGTGCACTGTGAAGGAATTGAATGTGACGTTTGTTTCCTTTTTTTTTTTTATCTTCCTTTTTTTATTGTTTGTTTTTGTAAGTATAATACGATTCATGTGAATATTTTTATATAAATTATATGCACATAATTTTTCATATTTTTCACTCGAATTATACTCAAAACAATCGTAGTAAATAATTTAAAAAACTTTTAATCCTTGATTTTTTTTGAAATCACATTTGACTTATATAGATTTTTAAAAAGAAATCCAAGTCTTAATGATAATCATAGGATTGTGATAAGAATGAGAAATCACACACCATGAGTGCATTAGAAATTTGTTAAGAGTATTACAAATAAAAAATCTCACACCATAAGGCGTATATAAGATTTATCTTCGTGGAGAGTGTCAAGGAGTAAATCACAGTCTCACACTTTAAAGTGTATATAGGGTTTGATTTAAATGTACTGTAACACAAAAAACTAAAATTATTAGGAATGTTTGGTTGGAGAATTCAAACCCTGATTCGAATCATAGTTCATGATTCGTTACAATATTTTCTCTTATAAAAAATACACATAAATTAAAAATAATTTTAATTCATGAATTAAATATCTCTTTAACGTAAAAAATGACTAAAATATCAAAATTATGTATTTATTTTGTTGTTTTAAAATATCACATATGTATATTTTTTCTCTCACTTCTCTTCTGCACACACGCACTTTTTTTTTCTTTCTTTCTCTCACCTCTTTTGCACACACGTCTGCACAGAGTCTTTTTTTGTTTTCTTCTCACGTTTTTTCTCACAACACACCTACAGCTTTCTATATATATATATATATATATATTTTTTTTTTTTTTCTTTCGCACTTTTTTCTCTTTCTTTCTTTCTTCTCACGTCTCCTGCACCTTTTTTTTTTCTTTCTTTCACTTCTCACGTCTCCTGCACACACCTGCACTTTGAAATTTGATTTCTTTCTTTCACTTCTCTCGTTTCCCCACACCTGCACACACCTGCATTTCCTTTTTTTTCTTTCTCTCTTTCACGCGCACAGAAAATTTTTTTCTTCTGTACACACGTCTCTGGATGAAAAGCTCTCTCCAAAGTTTTTTTTTTTTTTTTTTTCTGCACTCATTTTCTTTATATAAGAGAATTTTACATTTTACATGTTCGCTCTGTACCACATTTTATATTATATTTTGTATCACATTTTACACCACATTTTACATCACGTTTTAAAACGTGCTTTTTTTTTAATTCTCTTTTTTTTTTTAAGCTAGTACAAAATTTTATTTTTTCCTTTCAATTTTTAAGGCTCATTTGTGATTCATTATTTTTTTACCACGAACAAAATGGATTTACCAATTTTATTCATGCTTTTACTTGGCGAGGAAATCAAGTTGTTTGGGTAAGAGGGAAAGAAATACTTTATTTACTAGGTATGGTCATCTCGAATAACTTGTTACTTACATTTGCTTAGAACGATATCTGCAATGATAATTGCACATGAAAAGTATTCATGTTGACGCATTAGATTACTACCTATGCTTAATTGCTAAAAGCACGTAAAACATCAAGAATACACAACAAAAAATGACAACAAAAAATATGATAAGAGCAAATAGCTTATCAGAACCCTCAACACTATGGTCATCTCATTTCATTTTCTATGTTGAGGAACTTTCAACAATGTACAATGATCTGAAGAAAATCATAACCCTAAACCAAACCCATTTCCGCACAAAAAATCAAAATCCAATCTAAAGCTGCACTGAAAATCGAGCACTTACAGAGGCTTACCTCTTGATCTGATGATGGGCAGTCGGAGGAGGAGATGGGATACCGGCAAACCGAACCCTCAACAATGCTCAACCGTTTTTCTTTGAAGACAAAAATCAGAAACCTACAAACCAAAACATTCAAACTAAAAATCATACGCAAAAATCCAAATGTTCAAACTAAAAATTGCGCGGTTAGAGAGGCTTACCTCTTGATCTGATGACGAGAGACGGGCAGTCGGAGGAGGAGAAGGGAGACCGGCAACGGATAGATCAATCGGGCGGAGGAGAAACCAAACGAGCTCCGAGAGGCCAACGGAGAGATCAACCGGCGAACGGAGAGAGAGGCCGGTGAACGGAGCCGGAGAACCTCGCTTCGAACGGCGAGGATGAGAGAGGATAGAACTCTCAAAAAAAAATTTACAGAGGAGGAAGAGGAGAGATACGAGTGGAGGAGAGTGGAGAGATCTGAAATGAAAATGGATAATAAATTTCAGATTTCAATAGGGATAAAATTGAAAATAAAAAATTTCATTAAACACTCAAAACATATTCCCGCATAAATTAAAATCAAAATCGACCTTTTGCTTTTAACTTCAGATTATGAGAAAATTATTTAAAAATCTATTTTACCAACTAAAATTTTAAATTTTAAATCTCTCGATAGGTACTTTTTCTCTCCTCAAAACAATACCAAACCCACCCTAGCTCAAATATATCAAAATTCCCTGTCAAAAAGTCAAGCATAAAATCACGTGCCTGCCTATCCATCATTGATCATTCCATCTCTTCAACTCCCAAGTTTCAACACTGCTCCTCCTCCAATCAGGCACACGAGTGACTGAGAAGTCTAGCGTCCAAACATCAAATCTATTCTTCTCCCAAACAACTCGCAGAACCTTGGAAGCTCCATCAATGGCGGAACGGCAAGAAGAGAATCACCTCCATTACTGGGGCAACACGCCTGAGCAAGACTACTACGCCCTCCAAGGCGTCAGAGGCTCCTCCTCCTACTTCACCTCTCCCCGAGGCCTCAACCTCTTCACTCGCTCATGGCTTCCTCTCTCCTCCTCCGATTTCCCTCCTCGCGCCCTTGTATTCATGGTCCACGGCTACGGAAACGACATCTCCTGGACCTTCCAAGCCACCGCCATCTTCCTCGCCCGCCATGGCTTCGCCTGCTTCGCCCTCGACCTCCAGGGCCACGGCCGCTCCGACGGCCTCCGCGCCTTCGTCCCGGAAGTCGACCTCGCCGTCCAGGACTGCCTCGCCTTCTTCACTTCCGTCAAGCGCGACTCCCGATTTCAAACCCTAGGTCGTCCGACTCCGTCGTTCCTCTACGGCGAATCCATGGGCGGCGCGATCTGCCTCCTCGTCCACCTCGCCGATCCGCTAGGGTTCGACGGCGCGGTCCTCGTGGCGCCGATGTGCAAAATCTCCGACAATCTGAAACCTAGATGGCCGATTCCCCAAATTCTCACGCAATTGGCGAGATTTTTCCCGACATTGGCGATCGTTCCGACGGAGGATCTGATGCGGAAGTCGGTGAAGGTGGAGGAGAAGAAGATCGTCGCGGATAGGAATCCGATGAGGTATAGGGGGAAGCCGAGGCTGGGAACGGTGGTGGAGCTTCTGAGAGTGACGGAGTATTTGAGTGGGAGATTGTCGGAGGTGAAGCTTCCGTTCATCGTTTTGCACGGCAGCGCCGACGCCGTCACTGATCCGAATGTAAGCAGAGCGCTGTATGCGGAGGCGAAGAGCGAAGACAAGACGGTGAGGATCTACGACGGGATGATGCATTCGTTGTTGTTTGGAGAGACGGATGAGAATGTGGAGATTGTTCGAAACGACATTCTTTCTTGGCTGAATGAGAGGTGCAATTCAAGTGGAGAAAGAGCTGATTAAAAATGGGTAATCTTAACATGGATCGGCATTTTTACTTAAATCTTAATTCATAATTTTTTAGTTAAATAATTACATGTATTTATTAAGAATAAAAAATAAAAATTTAATCTCATATACTCTGGAATGTAAATTTTCTATTTTTTTGATTAAAATTGTGGATTTATAATTGTTTGTTTTATTGATATATAATTGTGGGTAATTTTATGAATATAATGTAAAAAAGATGACGTTTATTTCAAAAAATTCATTTAATTTAAAATTCTAATTTTTAATTTTAAAAATTATAATTATAATCGTAATTTTAAACTCATAAATTAAACATTGATGCGTTTTACTGAATGTACTCCAGCCCTTTTGATTTTGTAAACGTGTTTTATGTGAGTGGAAAAGTGTACGGTGTATCTGTTGTATGACTACAAAGTACAATAGGGTCTAAACTTGTACGGGTGGTTGAAAAAAATCTTTTGATTGAAACGACATGAATTGTATACAGGTACGTAGAGTCTAATGACATGCACTATCCCGTAGCTTTTTCTTCTTCAGTCGTTACTGCAGTAAAGTTGATATGGTCTGTGTCTTTGATTCTGGTGGCTGTTCCATTTCTGCTAACTAGTTCAGTGACTTAAAACAAGATACATTTTATGCTAATTGCTTACTTGTTCTTCACTAATCACATGAGTGTGAATGTGTACTACAATTTTGACTGCATCTCGGTTGTAGGAGCATTCAAAAATCTAAATAATTATTTTGAATAAAAAAAGTATAGAGAGGTCCCACCGAGATTTGAACTCGATTCAGAATTCAATGTCCTGACCACTAGACCATGGGGCCACCGGGGCTTCAACCGCATAATGTATTTTATAGAGCTTGTGTCGTCTACTGGAGAAAATTTTTTCCCCCAAGGAATGACAAGAATATTTTGTTGGCAACTTCTCAAGACAACATTGAGGACTCGAGGGCCTATCTTGCATTTCATCTTGTAGGAAGGAAGAGAACCAAACAGACGTACCATCCCCACTTTTTTTGCGAAAAAAGAAATGGAAATGGAACAACTAGCATTAGCAAAAATATAAAAATTCAATTTTTGTTTTAGTTATTATTTCTCAACAAAAATATCCTACTCCGTTACTGGTTAGCATGTTCTCCCCAAGAGGTAGTCCCAAACACTAGCATGAATAGCAAGCCCTACCCTAGACGAGGGTGGTATTGCCTCAGCCACATAGAATGAGCTAGATGTCATGATATATATGCGTGCGGTCCATCCAAACACGCTTAATTGAGTACTGTATTGACGAGAATAAGTCTTCACATTCAAGACTCTCAAAGAAGCCACTTAAAATGCATTTAAGACCCTTAAAGAAGCCATCCAACACTCCCAACCTTTAATCACAAACTCAACCGCGATAATCTTTTTACTTTCAGCCACCACACTCGGTCTGATCAAAATGGAATATAAAGATAAGTCCCTCATGAGAAGTGGCGATTAGTCAGAACGTTTATTTCCATAGAATATGATGTTGACACCTTTCGGATAACACAGGTAGTTATAGTTTACAAAGTCCAAAGTAATGTGCTGGGAATTACTACTAATAAGCTCCTCAGCTACTGCCTCGACCATAATCTTTGCACCGTAAGTAAATGGTAAACATGAACCGACCAGAGAAATGATACAATCAAACCCGTCAAATACGCCTAACATTTGTCATTGTGATTGCAATAACAGAAAGCTAAATGAAAAACGAGATAGAAAATGGGAGAAACTATCATTTACATGTAAAAAATGGATTAAACAGTAACACTAAAATTAAAAAAAATATTTATCTCATCTATAGCTCATAGCGCCTACCCTTTCTAGCGTAAAGCAACTAATATCTACATCCTATACATTGTAATGGAGAGAGACGGAAGTTAAAAAGGTAAAAACAAATGGATCCTTTGATTCTATAAAGACTATTAACACAAAAAAAATCTTCTTGTCAGTAGAGCTTCTTATAGTCGGTACTCCTTTTCAATCTCTATTGGTCAGGGATTAGAGTGTTACTGCTGCAGTTGACACCTTTAAGAGAAAGCTAACTGATAATATAATCTGTGTTAGCAAGCAAACAACGTCTGCCAAACCTATAAATCACGTCATGAACAGATATTTCAAATCCTCTACTGTCAGGCGAGTCTGACGACCTCCCATTTCATCCTCCCCAAATGCAGAAGCAACCATTTCTCTCTTTTTTTGCTGATGGGGGAAAAAATAGTATAAGCTAACCAATAAATCAAAAATCAAATATAAATTCTAAAAACATTTAGATAATTAAAAACATTCAGTTCTCCAATGCAGGAAGACAGCTAACAAAAAGCATATCCCAACTGTCCCAAGTCTCATTTTATAGGTTTCCAAATCTCATTGAAACCCCAGAAATACACAAGTCAAATCATTTAATTAGTTTTTCAATCCACACCCGTCAATCGCAGCTGCATATTAACAAGGTTTATAATATATACTTGCCTCACTAAAACTAGGTTAAGATAAATCCAAAATCCCCTTCCATTTGACTAGTTTTGGTAAGTTATTGGTTATTATCTTCTGTGTTCTATAACCCCTGAAATTTAAACTTCCAAAGAGAAACAACCAAGTAAACAATGTTCTCAGAACCTTCAGAAAATTGCAACTATTGTGTTTTTTTAGAACTTCAAGTTTTCAGAATCGGATGAGAACAAAGCGGAATTGCTAAGTACCTGAAGAGATAAAATACGATCTTCAACGGTATCTCTCACGGTTAGCCGCAACACTGTAACTGGACGAGTCTGTCCAATCCGATGTGCCCTATCAATTGCCTGGTCTTCTGTAGTAGGATTCCACCACAGATCCAGAAGTAGAACGTGGCAAGCTGCAACCATGTTGAGACCAAGACTAGCAGCTTTCAAAGACATTATCATAACAGACACCTGAAAGAAACATGCAATCAAACATCAGATGGTGTTGGAAGTCCAGGAGAACGAAACAGAGAGATGCTATGATGTCCACAAACCTCAGGCAGGGTGTTAAAATCCTTCACAGCTTTATCTCTGGCCGTGACTGACATTGTTCCATCTAGTCTTCTATATTTAATGCAAGAATGTTTTAGACAACCTTCAAGCAAATCCAGCATCCTTGTCCACTGCGAAAAGACTATCGCCTTCTGTCCAACAACCTTAATTGAAGAATTAGTACCTTCTTCTGCCTCCAAATTTCGGTTATCAGGAACATCCTTAAGTGGTTCAACTGCACAAGTAGCCAACGAGTTTTCCACAGAGCTGGCATTTTCATCAGATGAGTTCAGTGTGGAACTATTTCCAGATGAAGAATCATGTGGTCCACATAATGATTGCAAGACGTCAAGAGCAGCCTTAATCTTGGAAGACTTAAAGTGACCCTCATGACAAGACTCTCCTGTCTGAATAACTTCCAAACCAGTACAATCCCTAGAACTATCATGACTAGACTGATCATGAAGAGGACTGCTCAACGTGGCTTTGGAAAACACTATATACCTATTAAGCCGAGCTTTGCAATTTGTATTAGGGCACTGGTGATCATCACCTGTAAGATGTTCACAAATGCACTGATTGCAAAAAACATGTCCACACTTGGCAACAACCGCATCCTCAGGTGGATCCTATTAAATAATCAGCACGGTTGTCAGGAAACAGTATACGATAATTCATTGTATCAAAGCCTAATTTGACATTCAATATGTGAAGACAGCTGCAAATATGTTATGCAAAAGCTAAGACCAAATATATTAAAAGAAAATGGTGCATACACTGCAGATGCCGCAAATTGCCAATGAACCTTCCAAGCATTTCAGAAGATGTTCTTTTTCATCTTGAGGTAGTTTCTTTGCCATCTCAACAGAAGAACTCAATAACGAATGTGAATCAATACCCTTAACAAGAAAGGGGTGATCACAAGCTTGTCGAAGACGCAAGAGCATCAACAAAATGTTAACATAATTCTGTTTAACCGTTCCAGCAGCAGCATACTCCTGACATACAAGAATCCATATTAGATTTCCTTTCTTTTTTTTTTTTTGAAGTGAATGTCCATATTAGAATATGAACATGACTATCATAAAACAAAAGTAAACTCATAAAGCTACCAAAAATTATAAGCTTTTTCATCTCAAGCGAAAGAAAGGGACCAATCATGAAAAACAAGAAAGGAAACCCAAAACAAGTCAAAATTAGATTTCAAGAGAAACACATACTTGAAACTGAGCACGCGAATCAGCCTCTAGCTGGGAGTAAAAATCACGTTCTTGCTCTGAAAAATCCACCCTTTTCAATTCTATAAATTTGGGTGGCAAACTGATGATTGGTTCCCCATCAAGAAGTGTACCTACAGCGAAAGATTAGCATCAGATTATAAAGTGCCAACAATCTGAAAGTCAATATACCAATGCAAAGAAGTCAATAACAAGAGATTGGAATATTACAGAATATAGACAATAAATCATTCAAAACTTAAAAAGCAGGGTTTTTAGCACAATTGCCCCCCGAACTTGTCGTGGTTTAGCAAATTGCCCCCTAAACTTTTAATTTTGACAATCAACCTCCCGAACTTTTAAAATTGTTGCAATGTGCTCCATATTACTAAATTTGCTCAATTTTTTTATTAGATTAAAGGGAATAAAAGTTGGAGAGTTAAAAGATTTGTGTTACATTTGAATCGGGACGTTGAAAACTTTTGTCAAATGTGCTTTTTCAACACTAACTTAACACAATCATCGTCAAAATGGGACATATTGCAACAAGTTTACAGCCTGAGAGGGCAACTAGCCCAAATTAAAAATTTAGGGGGCAAGTTGCTAAGACCACACAAGTTCAAGGGGCAAATGTGTAAAGTACCCAAAAAAGAAAGGTATACACCTTTCATAAAGCTGAGATAAAATAAAGTGAGTTGGACGATATGCTCAAGTATGTTAATTCTAAATACAAGTTATTATCAAGGCTTAATCTCAAGGAGAGCACGCAACCTGAGGCATACAAAATGAATTTTACCAAAAAGCCAAAAATGGACCAGCAAAGAAAAAAAGAGGGAATGAAAGAAATAGCATATTAACTTAGCACTCTCCCGTTTTTTTTTTTTTTTTTTTGTCCACATATAAAGAAAAAGTCAATGAACAGAAAACTTAAGTCTCTCACCTTTGGTGCGGCGTAGCATGATTGTCTTCAAAACAGTTTGTAGTTTTCGGTACCCAGTTGATGGATTCTTACTAATTGGGGTCTTAATATAGGTACAAAACAACTTATATGCATCAAAAGGGTCATATTTGAGAAATCTGAAGTAGCTGTAAAGATCATCAATTGCATTCTGGATAGGAGTCCCTGACAAGCACCACCTACGTTTAGCACGAAGACCCCAGCAGGCTCTAGCTACTTGGGTTCTGTGATTCTTAATGCTCTGGGCCTCATCAAGGACAACCCTGAACCATCCCACCTTTGCTAAGGGCCGAGCATTGTCAAGCAGGGCACTGTCCAAACCTTTTTTATCTGAACGTTTTTTATTAGAACTAAGAGGGTATTTCCTTTTCTTACTAGAGGAGAGTCCCATAGAAAAACCATGATCTTCTGATTTTCCTTTCTCCTCATCATCTTCATTGACACAAGGCTGCTTTGGTACTTCCATACTGACAATTGAATATGTCGTAAGAACTACATCATACTTGGCCAGCTCACAAGGATCCCTTGTTCGATTGCTTCCATGGTACACGAGCACAGAGAGATTGGCTTTTTGGGTTACCTTATTCCGCAACTCCTCATCCCATTGTCGCAGAACACTTGTAGGACAAACAATAAGGGTTCCAGCAGCTGGTCTACCCTTTGCTAGCATAGAAGAATTCTTGCTTCTGATTGGAGTTTCATTTGACACAACTTGAAGAGGATCTGATTCTTCTTTCATTCCATTAGATGCAGAAAGCATAACATCATCCTCATCCAAGTTCAATGTTTCCGTTTCGTCTTGTTTTACATGACATGCTTTAAAAGATGGAGGCCTTTCCTTCAATATTAGTGCTATTGTTGACACAGTCTTCCCCAGTCCCTGAAAAGTAATGATTTGTATTCTTTAAGCACAGGTCTGCAAAACTCAAAATAATACCAAATACTTCTGATTAATAATGACAGGACAAAAACCTGATCATCCGCGAGAATTCCACCTGAACAGTGCGCACTATCTGTCTCCTTCTGAACCATCCATGACAAAGCAATCCTCTGCCCAGAAAGTCATTTATATATATATATATATATATATGCTTAAAAAGGGATAATAACATAAAAACGTAATGAAATCTTATGAAGTAGGCCAGTAATGCGCAAGAAAGATGACCACTTTGTGCAGCATATCTAAGGTGGGAAGAACGTATGCTAATTGGAATGCCTCTACAGGCTTTTAACACCCATAGGGAATAATACAATAGCCATAACAAGGAAACTATCTTTCTGGTAAGTAAGACATTCATCTGTTGTGAGAGTCTGAGACTACTACTTTTTTCTGATTACCACCAATTTATATGTGAAATGTTGTGATCATTTCATGTGCTTAAGACAGCAGCCTTTTATTACATGGTAACAATACCAGACACCTTAACGCATCATCGGGTCCCATCTATTATTCTGTGCTGGTATTATTGACTATGTATGTATGTGACTGATACCTACTATTAAAATGCTTATAACCTATCTAGTGTTCCTAGTTTGACGTAAAAGTGAGAAACAATTGAAGAAAACAGTTCAAACCTGATGCCGAAGAAGAGGCACTGCCAAAACACCATCTGGTGGATTAGTTTCTGACTTTGGCTGTGAAAGATCCTGAAAAATGCATGGCACACCCTCATGATAAAGGTTTCAAACAAATGGGTCTTTGGTTTTCTTTTAACTAAAAGAACCAACACTAGTCACCAACTAGGCTACCTAAAAGCATTTACTCCAGAACTGCAAAGAGCAAGCAAATATAAGAATTCCGGATCAACTAACCTGCAATAATCGTAAAATTAACCGCTCATCTTTTGCCTTGAATCTCATGCCACCAACATTCACGTAATTATCACTAATTGCAGAACTTTGTGAAGTAACAAGCATGTTTCTCGGTACTAGAGACTGGTTAGAAGGAGCAGGATGACTTATATCTTCAATGATACATATATCCGAGTCATCCTCTACAACAGATTTCTCTGAGAAATTACTGTGACTTGATTCGGGACTGACTTTTGAAATTCGAGGACCCATAACACACATAGATTGATTACCAATTGAAGAGAATGGTTGTGCAAAAGGCATATACTGTTCCGAAGCATCAATCTTCAAATTTCCATTACTATTATACATTGTCAATCTTCCATTAATATTATCTGGAGAACGGCAGACTTTCTTATATGTAACATGATCTTCTTTGTCATCCATTTGATGCTCAGTCTTCTGACCAGACAGCGAGGAAGAAATACCAAAAAATGATGATCTTAAGTCTTCGCCAAAAGATTTGTTGTCAGCAGAGTAAGAATGCTCTCTACTGACAGCTTCATCAATGACATCGACCGAATGCCACATAGAGATACTAGGCGCAACCACCTCTTCTGGTTTCTCGTCCTTCACGTTCTCTTCACTACAAATGTATGATTGTGCACAACCCCATGGCTGCATCACTGCTTTATCATCAACAGGACATCCATCTGCATCAAACCAAGAACAACCCATAGATGGCACATAATCATTACCTTCATATCCATAATGACATCCCTCTATATCCATATAATTACTCGTTGAAAACCCCAAGGAAGATTTTCCGTTTTCCCCAAAATGGCCATTCAATTTCATCTTAGTACTTGAACATGTACTCTCAGCTGGAAATTCCCCTTCCTCATCCTTCACGCTATTCTTCAATTCTTCATTGATTGTAAAAAATTGAGAATTATAACTGTTATGGAAGTGATAATCTATTCCCACATTGCATTGTGTTGAGGAATAATCACTCATAATTTGAGTATTAGGACAAATGGCAGAATCCTTACAAGCTATGTCTCCCAAGCGCATATCTGCACCCATGAAGGGGATTTCTGCAGACGTATGCAAGTTATCTGTTGGTGGTCCCACAATGTCCATGATATTTTGACCAAAGGTCTCATTCTTACAAAAATTTATACCAATGTTCTTAGAACCAGGGTATTCTAAAGCACCTGCAAACATCAGAACAACATTAATTAGCCGTTGTCCTCAAAATTCATAGATTATAGGGGATACCTAGATTATAGTTCCAAAATCGTGACCGAAAAGCCAATTCTAATTCCTTTGATTAAGTCGAGAAAGAATTTACACACCTTGGCGACTGATTTCAGCTCCATTGTTCCTTATTTGAATTTCAGTTACTCCCTGCAGCGTACTATTGAATTTATCTAAAAAATCTGAAGAATTGTTAGCATCTCTTTGAGGAAAATTAGATGATGTACCGCTAGTAGGTAGCGAAAAACTGGCCCTCTCAGACAAGTAAGTTTCGTCACTCGGAGCTAGTGAAATCCAGTCTTTAAGACTTGCAGACCAAGCATTCACTGGAGACCGCTGAACTCTAGAGTCGAAGATTAAGTTCTGATTCATTGCGGAACCAAAGGAACCACCTGAGACCCCTGTCATTGAGTCTGAGGCTTCTGAGTTGTATGAAGGGTGGAATGTGCTAGGACCCACTAGATCATTCTCTGCAACAATTGGAGTCCCTTTCATTGAGTCCAAGGCTTCTGAGTTGTATGAAGGATGCAATGTGCTGGGACCCATTAGATCATTCTCTGCAACTATTGGAATCAAATCAGATTAGAACAGAGCATCTGAGGAGGAGGAAGAAGAAGAAGAAGAAGTTTAAAAAACTTCAATAGGGAAAAATAAATAAATAAATAAAACGCTAAAATAGTCGGTCTTGATATATCAAGCCTACCTGGACAAGCACTATCATGGTGGCTGGCACTAGGAACTGCTTCACCTTGTGATGCATTTTTTAATGAAAACTCCGAACAATTCTGCAATAAAATACTCGAAATTACAGCATCAATGAAAGATTTCTAGAAGATTCATAGCGGGTAATAGAAACGAGGAAGTACCATAAAATGGCCACCAGATATTAATAGGATAAAAAAGAAAAAACGATTATGAATGAGGTTATGAATGTCCGTGACCACGAGGAAAGTTAATTGCAACTAAACCCTAAATAGTAACTAAACAAAGTTGAGATACCACAAAATAATTATTGAAATCTTCCCAAGCCACATGAAAATCACCTAAAATGTCACAAAAATATTTACTAAACAAGTACATACAGCAAGAAAGTCTCCAAATTAATCTAATAATTCATAACTAAAACTGTACTAATTAGATCGCGGGCCATAAACAATTGTGAGTCCCCTTTAAAGTCATCAAGCTAGTACATTTTCTGACACAATCCACAGTTTTCTTCAAACCAACTTGCTCTCACGGTTAAAGTAAAAGAACTATTCAAATCAAAAACCGTAATTAAACTATTACGATTCTCTGGGCTGAGAACAAGTGTCTCCACAAATGCCCATCACAAAAGAACGTCCCGAAACTCACAAACTTGTATGCGCATATGGACCCATAATCAAATAAATTCCAACATTACAACAGCACAATTCTTCCTTTACGATGCAGTAGAGAAACACATCTCTATCCAACAACACCCACGAAAGATTTCAAAAGGGAAAGTGATTTCCATTCCTCTAGAGAAAATGAAATTCAAAAGGGTTCGAGCATTTTCCGAGAAAATTGGCGCCGAAGAAACCTACCTGCGACGGATCAGAATCCTTCTTATCGCGTTCCTCGTCAATAATGCCGAATAGCATATCCAGATCAATCGACAAATCACCTCCTTCAAACAAATCATGGTCCGCGAACTCATCAACGAAACCGTTACTCTGCTCTAAACTTTCCGTATTACCTTCCATCCCAAAAATCGAATTCTCGTCCTCCATAACCGCCTCAGAAAACCCTAACCCTAACTCCCTTTCAGCCTCCGGAAAAACCAATCAAAAACCGCTCCGAACGCTTCCAGTTTCTTAAAAAAAAAAAGAAAACACACAAAGATTTAAGCCCAACCGGATTCCAATCTTCAAGAGTTTTCTCGCGAAACAAACAAGCAAAAGAAAATCAAGGATTTCACGAGCAAAAGAGAGGAGAAGCAATTTCGAAGAAGGTTCGCTAAACGACTTTTCTATATCGTTCTTCTTCTTCTTCTTCTTTCTTCTTTTTCTTTTTTCTTTTTTTTCTTTTATTCTTTTGTTTTTCTCTACACCGGAGAGGAGTGGACAAAGTCGCGAATCGTGAAAAATGTGGGGGTGGCGCAGGTTTAAATAGGAGTTTGGGAAAGGTGTGCGCAGGTTAACGACTTTTTCTTTTTTTATTATTATTAGTTTTATTATTATTTTTAAGAATAGAATAGCTTTTGGCTTATAGTTGGCGTTTTTGGATTCTTTTACAGCGGGACATGAGCTAAAAGGTCGGTCAGGTGCGCAAGTTGAATAATTTTGGCTACTATACGCCGGTTTTTTCTTTTCCCACCGAAACTTACTGTGGATTATCAATTAAAAACCTACTATTACGTGGGCTTTCACGGATTCCAATGCCCACGCGGGTTGTGGCGCGTCGCTTGAATAAACGTGAAGAATCAAATTTAAATAGTGGATAATATATTGATATTTAGGAAATTAGGTTGGGTAATTAAACATAAGTATTACTTTTTATTTTTTACTTTTATCTTTATTGATTTTTAGGAAATTAGGTAGGGTAATTAAACATAAGTATACTTTTTTCTTTTTGTTTTTTTTTTTACTACATTGAAAATGTATTTCAATTTCATCACTAACTTAACTTTTGAGCCAAAGAAAAACAATGAACAAAAAATTTGAATTGAAATTCACTTTTTATGTTACAAAACATTGTAAAAAAAGATTGAATTATGATTTAAATCTATAAAATATTATTAAAGTCTTATGGTTTAAGTTGTGGTTTAACCTGTGAAACAACAACGCCTAAATAAATTTAAAAATGTGAACTCAAGTTTAACAACTCAATTTTGTAGATTAAATAATAAAATACTACAATAACTTTTTCCTCTCTCTCACCTTTTCTTTTTGTCCTTCCTACTCTCTTTATCACTCAATGAAATTATGGCTCTGTTTATTTCGCTTGTTTGAGTTGAAAACTTGAGTTAAGAAGTGAATTTATGTGAGAGAAAACAATATATCAGAAAAAATTGAATTTAAATTTTTATAAGAGAAAACATTATAATAAAAGCTACTAGCTATGGTATAACAATTAAAGCTCTAGAAGTTAATAGCATATAGGCCTTAACTTAAAAGTAATTATTTATTTTGAAGATGAATAGCTACACATGTAATACTAAAAGATTTAATAACGATATTTATATTAACTTAAAATTCATAAATCTTTCTTACGTCTTTATTATGATTATAAAAAGAAATGCCTATAAAAAAAAAAGCAAATATATATATATATACATAGTGCAAAATGTTATTTTACTCCACCAGTAAGAACGACTCTTTTTAATCATTAGATAATATTTTTTTTGAAGAAATCATTGGATTAATATTTTACGGTCATAACTGTATATGTTCATATTAAAAATTTACCGCGAATAATACAAAATTACTTTTACTGTGAATCAAACTATTAAAAATTAACCCAACAATTAAAATACAATTTCTATTAATAAAATAAAATAGTTTTCTCCATCATGAATATACTTAGAAAAGCATTAAATCATTTATAATAAGGTATACATTTTTGAAGGAGTAATATAAAAAAAAAATCAATATGTGAAATGTATGTACACGCGCTGCCGCGCAAAAGAAAGCTCGATGAGGTTTCCCGTTAAAGAGGATGTGGGAAAGTTCCTCGGCATGCTCCGAAATTTATAGCCTGCCAAACACGGACACCTTGAAACCCACGCTTCATAGTTCATTGATTCTATTAAGCTGAGGTACATTTGTCGGATAATTTCCTGCACTTTTCCCTTCATTTTTTATTTTTTATTTATTTTATTTTTAGTTTTGTTATTTTTTTAACAAAAATTCCTTCGTTTACAAAAAAACAAAAAAACAAAAACCAAAATTTTCTTTACCTTGTATTATTTGTACCAAATAAAGCACCTTTTTATTTCTAAAAATAAATAAAGGATCTTTTTTTGTCTTCAAGATTTAAAAGATAATTTTCTGTAAATATATTTAGTAATTTATAAAATGAATATTTTAGCGTAGTGCGTGTTTGTTAACATTAGAAAAAATACATTCTACCAAATTGATTATATAAAATTCTGGACAGATTTAGAACATTGTCCTATCATTAGAAAAAAAAAAGTCAAATGTGAAATTCAAAATTAACTTAAGATATTGATCATGGTTTTGTTTTTAGGGGAGAGGGTAAGCAATAAATATGATTCAGACTTTGGATATATGTTCAATAAAAGAAAAGTTGGATATATGTTTTCCCAAAAAAAAAAAAAATTAAAAAAATAAGAAATAAAGACTTTGGATATTTGCTTGTAGACAATTATATTCAATAATGGTGACCTCAGTCTAATACATATATATTTTGGCCATTAGCACGCATACTTAATTTTATATATAAATAAGCTCCAACGACGATCTCAATGTTAACATGCATGCTTTTTATTTATTATTTTTTAAATGTTGGGTGGAAAATGCATGCTAAATTTTATAAAATCAATTTGAATTTAAATTTTTTAATTGAGATTTGAACGTGAAGTGCTTGGTTATGGCAATATATGATTTAGCAACAATTTCAGAGCAAAACAAAACTTATAAACAACTTCACAAAGAGGAAGGGCTAGCTAATATGTTTTAAGTATTGTGGTTTTTAAAATATTAAGTTAGAGTTTTATCAGCGTTGTTTGTGATGGACCAGTTTAGACCCTAAAATATAAAAGTGAAATGAGAAATATGACAATAATTCGTAAAAATGATTTTAGAAAGATAAAATATTAATTTACGTTAACCAAAATTTGTTTATTATTACACTTTTTCAACATCATTGTTTATGTAATATTTCTCAGTTTTACATGTTACAAAGCAAAGATGTTTGGTTTATGTATTCAGAATCATTTTCGATTTACGTGTATTTTTTGTAAGAGAAAACACTGTAGAGAATCATGATTCATGATTCAGAATCAGGGACCGATATAGGAAACAAACGTCTATAGGTTTCTTTTTTCTTTTTTTTTTTTAAAAAGGGTTACTATATAGACGTTGTAGTATAAAGTAAAAGAAGTTAGTTTTTTAAAAAAAAAAAAACAGAGAACAATAAATATTCCCTAACTTTATTAAAATTACACTACATTTCAATAATTATGAGAGTAAAATTGATATAGTGTTTTTTTTAAATGTTTTAGGAATGGAAAAATTACATGGTAATTATTGTGATGATATTCACGTTTACACTACATAACTACATAGTACATAGTAATTATTTTAATGATTCTAATTTTATTATTTATAAATTTTTTAAAATATTTTGTAATATGTCAACATGACTAGTGAAATTTTGCTTACGTCTAAAAGCCCTTAGTTTTATGTTTTGAGAAACTGGGTAAATTTTATATGTCTTGATTTGCAATCAGCTCCTAAGGCAAATTAATTATGCAATTCCGGGAACGTTTGAGTTTTTTTTTTTTTTTTTTTAGTGCCGTGAACGTTACAGTTAGGAGCATCAAAACGTTGATATAGTGGTAGTATCAATATTGTGTGTGTACATTCAGCAAAAAAAAAAAAAAAAAAAATGGTGGGTGTGTGTGTACGGATTTTTATATAGGTGCATGAAAAGTTTGACTTTTTCGCAACCATTAAAACAAATAATATAAAATAATAAAAAAAACATATTTTTTATGTAACATGGATATATTAGAATACATGTCTGTAAGGTGCTTTATGAAAAAAAATGAACAAATAAGAACATGCAAGGAGGTAAGAAACCAAAAGTTAAAAGTGAAAAAAAAATTGATATAATAATCGTTCTCAAAAAATAAAATTATATTGGTTGTTAATGTGCCAAAGTGTTATTCCGTTTTCAAATTTCAAGTTTGTGTCGGTCTTTTTAATGAGTCATTAATATTATATCGAGACGATTATTTATTAATTTTTAATTAAATACAATTTCTCTTCAAAAAATAAAATAAAATCATCTTGGTATGTATGTGTACTGTAGACAAATGCCACAATCACTCTTCTTGAATTGATTTTTTCATGAGAAAAAAACTACTTTTGCGAAAAAAGAAAATAACTTCAGCAAATCCATAACACCGTGAATATTCCTAAAATATCATACCAATGATTTATTTGTGTTACCAAAATTTTTTGCTGCGAGCGTATATATTGCACCACTCGTGAGGGACAACAAATGGCATGGAGATCTTGAAGTATGATTGTGTGCAGTCTGCACATCTTTATTTACTTGGGATTGATAACACTTACTGCACGAATATTTTATTTGGGGCAAAAATCCAGTAAATTGTTAACAGAAAAATGAGAAATTTTAAAGAATGCGATTTTTCTTTCTTTGTATTTATCCTATGAATATTAGAGTTTCATTATTGTGCCACACAAACTCAACAAAACGTGGTACAAATCCAAACCAAAAATAAAATTATTTGGAGAAAAGTACATGATTTTATATTGATCTATTATTTTGTCATTTTAAATAATTAATTGATATTATAATATTTTTTATTAATTAAATGACAATAATTTATTTTTAAATGAAGTGACATAAATAATAAAGTGATGTAAATAATTCATCTCGAATGGTATTTCGGATTTTTTCCAAATACTTTGTGGCATAAATGATAAGCGTTAATTACATATATATCTATTATGCAATAGAGGAAAAAAAATAATGTCCTATAAATTGTGATATTTGCACACAAATCTGTAAAATAATATGTCTATTCTTTGTTAACTACGTTTAAAGTTAGTTATAAAAATTCATAACTGCCCAGACAAAAAAGGCTATCTTTAGAATGATATTATTTCAATAGCGATAAAATATACAGGTGGATAATATTATTTAATTAAGGACATATTCTAAACGTGAAGTTAAACAATGATCAATTTGTGTAATTACTTCACAAGGAAATTATAGTAAATAGCATATTTATAAAATTAAATTAAGTAAATAACAAATTTTAAAATTATTTAAAATAAATAATAGTTTACCATGTAAATGATTCACTTACAACTGTAAAAAATAATTTACGTGGTAAAAATTAATCTTTATTTACGTGGAAAAAATCATTTTATTAGTCATAAAAAGAAAATTTATGTGAAAAGAAAAAAAAATTATAATCGTAAATGAAATATTTATTTTAAATAGTTTTAAAATCTTCAATTTACTTCAATTATTTTTCATAAATCTCTCCTTAATTCATATATCCACCAAATTTTCTCATTAAAAAAAGGAAGTATTTATACAAAACAATCACTTTTATATTTCATGTTTAGAATTTGTCTTTAATTTAGCAATATTATAAATCTCTCTATTTTATGATTATTGAGATAATATTATTTCAGATATATCATTTTTGTGTGGGTGGTTATAGGTAGTTACGAAAGGGTAGATGTGTCATTACAAGTTATTTTACGGACTTATATGCAAATATCAGTAGACATTCATTTTTTCAACTCCTGAAAAATAGCATATATGTAATTAACTCAAAAAGTGGGCTTATATCTAGGTCAGCCCAAATATTTTGGGCTCACAACAGTCAGGGAGTTGATCGGGTAACTAGATTTCAAGCGGATATAACCCGACTCGTACTGTGATTAGCCCCGAATAAAAGTCCGAAATCCAAACCAAACGGGAAGGGAAGGGGAGAGGAAGAAAGGGATCGCCGGAGTTGATACCTGCGAGAACTTTCATACACCGACATCTTCAATCAATCAAGAAAAGTCTGAAAACGAAATCATCGCATATTCAGAAACTTTTCGGGTACTTTTTCCTTTTTCATCCACGATTTTCCCTAGGATTTTCTCGCTCCGGTTGCGTTATCTTCGCATTTTATGGAATTTCAGAGTTTAGGATACGGAGATTGAGAGTGTGATTGGTTGGTGCGAATTTTTAGTTTGCACAGAGGATTCTTTGTTTGTTTTTTTTTTTTTTTTTTTTTGTGGCAATCTGAATTTGTTTTGGTGTAAAATGCGCAGTGAGATTGCGAATGGGCCTGGAGGCGGCGAACTGATGTGACTGTTCTGGATTTCAATTCGTCGGCTTGCGGGGATCGAAGCTATGGTAATCGAATTTTTGTTCTTGGTTTTGATTACTGCGTCTGTACTTATCCTTTCTTGTTAATTCTTTCTAAATCAAGAATAAAATGTGTTAAAAATGTTAAATTTGACTCTTATTTTGTGAAATTGATTCAAGAATCAAGATTGAAGAATGAAGATACTATAATTAGGTTTGACTTTTGGTATTTTGTGGAGATTGGAGTTTGGTTTCTATTTAGTTTTACAGCATGGACGTGAAGTTACAATGGGAAGTATATGTACTGTCTAGATATTGTTTAGAGAGAAAGAGAGAAAGAGAAATGAAAAAGTAGTTCTTTTGAGGCTTATCCAGGGTATGGAACTAACTATATATATGGCTGAAGTAAGTTTGTGATATTATCTGTCTACAGGCAACATCTAAGAGAGTGATTACTAGGGAAGAGTGGGAGAGGAAGCTCAATGATGTGAAGACTAGAAAAGAAGACATGAATAAATTGGTGATGAATTTTCTCGTCACCGAAGGCTATGTAGAAGCGGCTGAAAAATTCCGTATGGAATCTGGAACCGAACGTATCCTTGGTTTATTTGATGCCCTACTTCTGTTTTTGCTATAATTGCTCAGGTGCCTTGGCGCTTTAGTTCGCTTGTCACGCTGGATTTTTTTGTTTTTCCTAATGAATAAACAGCAGACATAGATATTGCGACAATTACGGATCGCATGGCTGTAAAGAAAGCAGTGCAATGCGGAAATGTGGAGGATGCAATTGAGAAAGTTAATGATCTTAACCCTGAGGTGGGATTACCTTTTTTTCTTCCCAGTCTAAAGTAAATTTGTTTACACTGTTCCATTCTGGTATTTTCTTTTTTTTTTCTTATGGTTATTTCATTTGGTGCTTTAACACGTATGTGGAGTTTACAATGTGCAATCTGGGGTCTCAACTTCCAATAGTTTGGCCTTATTTCTCCTGGTTCTTCTATTCTGATACTATGAGTCTTTTTTTCCAAATCATGTCGTATGCTTTCTTCCTATTTAAATCACAGGTGTTTTGCATGGGGGTCATGTACTAAGAAGCAACAATCATCATCTAATGCAAAATTTCTATATGCAGATCTTGGATACAAACCCACAATTGTTTTTCCATCTTCAACAGCAAAGGCTAATTGAACTAATTCGAAATGGAAAGGTAGAAGAGGCTCTTGAGTTTGCTCAGGAAGAGTTAGCTCCAAGGGGAGAAGAAAATGTAAAATTCAACTTCTTATATATCTGTTTTGATTGTCTATGAATGGCATCAATGGTATTCTTTCACAATACAAAGCTCCTTCTGACTTTCATTTAATAGCAGTTGATTTCTTTCTCTTACACACACACACACACAATGTTTACTCGACTTAAGTTCAATGGAATGTGAATACAAGGTGTCTTCATAAAAAAGCTTGCATGATTGCGTGATTGTATTCAAGTCTATAACTTTGTACTTGTTTGCTGCCTTTTGAGGAAAAACTTGACACTCTTAAGTGAGATTTCTGTTGCCTTTTGCAGCAAAGCTTTTTAGAAGAGTTGGAGAAGACTGTCGCGCTTCTTGCCTTTGAAGATGTCTCAAACTGTCCTGTTGGCGAGCTTCTGGACATATCTCAGCGCCTGAAAACTGCGAGTGAAGTAAATGCAGCCATCCTAACTAGCCAGAGTCATGAAAAAGGTTGGTGTTTGTCTCTATCATTCGCATTATCTAAACCAATGCATCCCTTCGATTATGATACATTATATAATGTCTCGTAATGAACAAATTACAGGGTGTATAATTGCTAAATTGAAGAATTTCAACAATTTTAGTCTTTAGATTCTTTCTAACTAATAATGTGGGACTGGAATTTTGATGGTATTTAACTAATGTCTCTTTGTTTTATTTATTTTTTTAAATCTCTACTTGTTGAACAACAGACCCAAAGCTTCCAAGTTTGTTGAAGATGCTGATATGGGCGCAGAATCAGCTCGACGAGAAAGCTGCCTACCCGCGAATAAACGATTTGTCCACAGCCACGTTGGAAGACCCTGCAGTATGAACTTTGAAGCTTGTGATACGTTCTTTACATTGGAGGGTTTATATTTGTCTGTGGTTTAATTGAATTGAATCAGAAATGATGTATAATGTACCTTTATTGTTAGATGACTTTGTTTTAGTTTCTTTCCTCATGAATGTCAGATACGTTTATATTCTTTAGCTTTTATAGTGACCTTCAAATCATTTGTAGAAAGTGATTTTTATCGAAAATGTTTTACTTTTACTTTTAGTAAAGAGATTTGAGGACGATATTGGCATTTTGTATTTGAGCAAAATCAGGACCTTTTTTTTTTTTTTTTTTTTGCTTTGACTTGGCCCAAATTCGTTTGTATGTGAATTTAATGTGTAACTGTCTCATTGTTGCTCTGCTTTGATTGTCCTGCCATTTTGTCTGGAACAATAAATGATAGCAAATTGCAAGGCAGTTTCAGCCGCTGATAGCACTTCCAGTTCTCACCAGGTGCAGGTGGTGAACATAGAAGAAACAAGGAAAATTAAATGCAACGAAAATCAAACACAGGAAAAAAAAAAAAAGATAAGTCTGACTAGATTATATATTTAACAAATAACAAACTGATTAAGCGAAAATCATGATCAAATAATGACCACAGGTAAAATTACCTAAAACCCCTCCCTACTCCATATCTGAACAGAAAACCCAAAAACATTAATTGCTCTTTCTCACTCTTCTCTTCTCTCTCTGAATCATAGTTCGACCCAAAGAACGTAAACCCACTGAATGTTTTTGATATCTGAACAAAAAGTTTGAGGCTTTGCATGTTTGCAACATCCATCATCATCGAAATTGAGAGCATAACTGGAAGGATCATACTGGAAAGAGAAGTGCTGTTTGCTCGTCTTCTTTGTAGCTTTCTTCAGCGCCGCTCTGAGTCTCCAGAACAAGCTCCTCAACTGCTTCCTACCGTTGGAAATGGATTCCACACACGACAAGCTTTCCGCAAAACCCATTTTTGTTTTTCATATAACAATAAAAAAAACTCAAAAAAGCCGACCAAAGTTGACAAATGGGTAGCGATTTTTTTCTGGGTTTGTTGTTGGGGGCAATGAAATGGTTGAGAGGAAATGAGAGGGAAGAAGTATAAAAACAAGGAAAGAAGGAAATCAACTTTTGAAAAGGTGGGGGGGATTTGGGAAATGCTGGATTTTGCAAAGGCGTATAAATCTTTTTGTGTCTTTCAAAGAAGCTGTGCAGGGGTGCAGCTCCAGGCCTCCACAGTGATCTACTTTTTCCTGAACCAAAAAAAAAGAATAAAAGTCACATTGGGATGCTAAAATTCCATCATCTATAACTTAGAGAGAGAAAATATTGAGAGAGAGAGAGAGAGAGAGGAGTTGACAGAAAGAACCTCTCTAAGGTCGTATCAACATCAGATGTGTTTGTAGCATAACGAATCATAATTACACCCAAGGTATTTCCTCGGCTTTATCATCCCACGTTTTGACTCTTTTTTTTTTTTTTTTCTTTTGAGTCACTATCTCTCTCTGCCCCTAACCAGCAACCAACTAAAGCCCTCCTGCCATTTATTTATTTTACTGGTCTAGTTGAGGCTTCTCGGTCTCACTCTCAGCTACATTTAAAAATTTGGGTAAATCGTTGTTTTATAAGATTCTGTTTTTAGGTTCATAAATGTTCTGTTTTTATTCAAAGTTGATATGGCAGTTAGACTCGGATTTTAAGGAGTTCAACATTAAAATTCGGCTTGGATTTTTCGGATTAGAAGATAATTTTTTCAGTTTTGAATCCTATTCATCTTTTTAGCAAGAAAGAATACTTTAGCCCTATTTAGGAATAATTTTGGTAAATCTTATGGTTCACACTGATACAGTGATAAATCAAATCAAAAGTTGCTGTTTTTACTGCCAATTGCTTTGTCCCCAGTAGAAGGCAGTGCGAAAGAATGTGGGTCTTTTTCTCTTTTTTCTTTTTCTTTTTTTTCTTTTTCTTTTTTGTTTTGGACGACTAGTTTATCACATTCTGAGCTTCTCTCTCTTTTTGTCTTCTTTTCCAAAGCCGTTTTGCCTTTTCCATTATGCTTATTCAATTCCTTTTTGTCTCACCCTTCACAATATACCCTTTAGTCTCGTTCATTTCGCTAATTCGAGTTTAAAATTTAAATTTTACTACAGTAAAAAGTTCTTACAAACAATCACATTTAACTTTTTTATTACAGTAAAAAGCTCTTACATAAAATCATATCTCAACTCGAATCAGCGAACTAAAGGGACCTTCTCTGGGACCATAAGCCTATGCAATTACATCTAACTTTTTTGCCTATTATCAAGTTCACTTCCTGTTTCCAAGGTGGTGACGTGGCTATACAACAATTGTCTAGTTTGGCCGATCCCAAATGACCTGTCATTCCTAAACCAACCAAAAGGAAAGCCTTCTCTGGGACCATAAGCCTCTGCAAATTTTTTTTGTTTTTTTCTAGGCTTTTGAGGCGAATTGAATTTTGGTGGGTTCACAAATAAATCCCATTTGACAAGCCTATGCATATTTGGTTCAGATGGTTTTGTCTCTTCCTAGCCATTGCCTTCAATGGTCCCCAACAAACGAACTAATTGGACCCCAATTGGAGACTTGTCATGATCAAAAGGTTTTTCAAGCTTAGTCCTTAGCCATGTGGGACTTGAAAAAGAGAGTTTCTTCGATTGATTGGCCTCTTGTAGGATTAATTTTTAATCCTTAGGATTTTATCAAAATTACATTAGATTATAAAATATATATAATAGATAATTTTTTATATAAATTTAACGGTTAAAAAATAGAGATATTGTTCTTTTTTTTTTCAATCCTACCAATAAACTCCACTTGAAAAATAAATAAATAAAAAACAATGGACTTGAAAAAACTAGTCATGCCAGGGTTAAGAGGACACTGATTGGGACTTTGCTTTACTAGACTAGATATATCAGTGGATTCTATTACTTTTCTAGTGTAAAGCTATTTTATCTGGTTCCTTGATGGATCTATCGTTTGTGTGTTTTTTTAGCCCTAGGCATGTACTCTTATCCGCATCAAATCCCTAAAAGACTTTCTGGCGTTTTATGTTTGTTTTGCGATTCTTTCAGTTTCACCCCATAACAAGTCTTTACCCGGTGCCATCTCTTGTCAATTTTCAGTCCATGATAAGTTGTGGAATCAATCATTGTCTTTTGCACTCTTTTGGTTCGGAATTTTCTATTTTAACTCAAATTTATGTGAAAATCATGGTTTGTGTGTGATGATATGTTTATAAGCACTTTGTAATGAACCTTGATGATATTTTTGTGACGTGAAATTCTGAACATATCCCTTGTTCTATGAAAATGTCTTGATCCAAAAGATTTTGTCTAGAGTATTCTGAACCCTTTTTTTTTTTTTTCTTTTTGAGTCTTGTCTAGGACTATTGGATGATTTGTTATATCAATGTTACAGCTTGATTTAATGGTCCGTTTGGTGCTTGAGAAGAATCTATGTTTGGAAAATCTAGAGAAATGCTCACTCATGTGAGGGAATAGAGATATATGTCAGATTTTAAAAATTATAAGATATTCGTCCTTCCTTTTCCTTTAAATATTAAAAAGTGACATTTGTTATAAATTGGGAATATATATATGCTATTATATAAACAAAGTAAATAAATAGTAAAATAAAGAGACTAATATAGAGAGAAAATACTATTATTAATTTTACACTATTTTCTCTTTCTTTCTATTCTCTCATAACACTTACTCTCAAAATTTTTTTTTCCTTTCTCTCCTCTCTCTTACAACTCTCGTTGATTGCTTGCGTATTGCAAGAAGAAGAAGCAATGGCTATTTATAGTCCAAGGTGAAGCCATCCGTATCCTCCTTCATTACAAGTCGCTAGCAAACTTCTTTTCATGCTACAAGTTTCAACAAAACTTTTATCAATGAAAGTTATTCATGAAAGCAACATATGATCATCAAACCTTTCACAACAACATTATGTTTGTTTATGTCTTTTAAAATATTTCTCAAATATGCAACTCCTAAAAAAAAAAAAAAAATGATTACAGGGGGGGGGGGAAATTGGCTTTCCAACTTCTTCAATAAAATGGGTCTCGTTTTCAAATAGCGATTTTAATTTGTAGTTTTGTTAGACTAGACGTGTGTTTTCCACAGTTTTTCATCTGTTTGTTTTGCTTCTAATCAGCCAAAGTAAATCAGATCTGCGACTATGCTAATCGGATCTGCGTTTGTGTTGATCATCTTGGGATTTGATTTCAAGATTTGGTTTGTTAAACTTTCCTCATGTGTTATGATCTTATTTTTATGACTTTGTTTATCGAGATTTTGTTCGTAAGGTCATTTAGACTAATTTTATTAGTTTGATTAATTGTCCTGGTTTGTTAAATTGCTTGGCTATATCTTGGTTTTTTGTTTTGCTCTGTTGTTTAGTGCTTTCTAGTTGGTTTTTGGTTGTTTGCTTTGGTGTGTCTTGTTGCCTTTGGCATTCTTTCAATGAAAGGTTCATTTAGCTAAAATCATTGGTGCCAAGTTATTGTATGTTGTGTGTTCTTTAGAGATGTGATCTCCCATCCCAGTTCAATGAGCTTATGATTTACTTATGAAATTGAACTTTTCATGATGAGTTGTAAGTTAATAAAAGTTTCATGTTGAGTTGTGAGCTATAAACATTGAGAGTTTCTTTGAAAATGAGTTTTCCATTTTCATTTTTTTTTAAGTTTATTACTTTGATTTTATGTTGATATTGTTCAATGTTGTGTGTTTTTTAGAATGCTATGGAGGCTTATTATTGCAGATTTTGCTATATGTGATTGGATGAGTTTTCGACAAAGAATTTTTTTTTTTAAGTCTCTTGACTAGACACCGTTTCTCTGATGAATTGTTAAGCGTAACGAAGTTGGCTCATGGTGCTGACGGGTGGGGTGGCAACAGTGATTTCAAATGGGGCCTTTGTTGGTTTTATTACCATTTTGTTATGATTTGTTTTTTTTTTTTTTCTATTTTTCCTGATTATAGATTTAATTTTCCATGTGATTTTTTTGTTAATTTGGTTATTTTGATTGCATTCAAGAATCTAGTTTTTTTTTTTTTTTTTACAGTAATCTAATTAGTTTGTGTAATATTTTTTTGATTTTTTATCATAAATTTGTTTTGAGTTTATGCGTAATTCTTAAAGAGTAATATTAAAATTAGAAAAGTGCTTTGATAGTTATGAGATAGTCTGATAGATTATGGCAGATGGCTTCCGTAACTTCGTAAATTATGGAGCATAGTTTGAGAGATTTTAGGTAATAGTTTGATGGACTATGTCCAGTGACTGACGTAATTTATCAAACTATGAGTCATAGTCTGACAGATTATGGTCGGGCCGACGTAACCTATAAGAATATAAATTATAGTTTGACAGACTATGAATTATAGTCTAAGAGACTATGGCTAGCCGACACAACTTGTTAGATTATGGGTTATAGTCTAACAGACTATGGTTGGTCGGCCGTGTGGAGGTCTATCGACTAGCACCGGAGAACTTGTCGGACGGCTGGCGAAGGTCTGCTATAGGTCCACCGAATGGCGGTTAGAGACTTGCCGGCCTATAGAACCCGCCGAAGGTCCGCCGGATGGCGATCAGAGGCAACCGACATTTTGTTAATTAGCAATTTACTTTGAGGGAATTTTGGTAATCTTTATATTAGGCCTTTGACTATTGTTTGACTAGATCTAGTCTAAATAGGTAGAAATAAAAGGGGTAATGTTTAGGGGTTAATAATAATTATTGTACCATTTTGAGAGATAGTTATAAAAATCACCTAACTGTTAAACTTACCTTTAGAGTATGTTTGGTACTTAGTAGGAGGGAGAGATGGAGGAAGGGGGAGGGGTGGAGGGAGAGAGATGGAAGGAGAGGCTCAATCTCTTATTTGGTTGGAGGAAAAGGGGGAAGGGGTGGAGGTGGAGGGAAACTTCATCCATCCGGGCCCACTAATTTGCATCCCTCTACTAATTGAAGGATCTATGCAATCTTTGAATTAACAATTTTAAAAGACTATTTTATGCTTAAAAAAATTAGTATGAAATTGATAAAAAGAACAATATAGTAATTAAACAAACATTCATTGATTTATCCTTTTAACTCTCCCCCTTTCATACCAAACAAAATAAAAGATTATCATAATCCTCTCTATCCCCCACATTCTCCATCCCTCCATCTCTCCATCCCTCTTACTAAACGGATTAAAGTACATGAGTCTGAATTTTTATTCCTTAACATTTACTCTTGATCAATATATTTTTAACTAATATAGTTATTTAACTAAAAAAATATTAATGAAGAATAAAAATAAAAATTCATATCTAGACTTCATTCATTCATCACCACTTAAATTAAAGAAGAAGAAGAAGAAGAAGAAGACCTCATTCATTCATCACCACTTAAATTAAATTAAAGAAGAAGAAGAAGAAGAAGAAGAAGAAGAAGAAGAAGAAGAAGAAGAAGAAGATTAAAGAAGAAGAAGAAGAAGAAGAAGACCTCATTCATTCATCACCACTTAAATTAAATTAAAGAAGAAGAAGAAGAAGAAGAAGAAGAAGAAGAAGAAGAAATAATGGTCAAGTTGACAACACATGTCACAATAGGATTGGCCAGTTTCAATTTCTTTGACGGAAATACACTAGTCTCAAATTGATGGCCGGTTTCTAGTCACATGCTTTGGTTTCTATTTGCTCCCTTAAACATTAAAAAAAAAAAAAAAAAATGTAACATCTCCAAGTCCAAAGTATCTGCATGGGATAAAAGCAGATCAAGACATGAGATCCTAGGTGCATTGCGGAAATAGAATATTGCGTACTATAGCCATATAAAACTTGAAAAAACCTCTTTTATAAGCGGACCAAATTCCAAGACCAAATCTCTTTTTTGGCTCAATGAGAGAAAAATGAGAAAAATAAATAAATAAATAAATAATGGTAGGAGAGATTCCAATGTTCATTCTGTCATATGGTAGTGTATATCTCTTGTGGATTTGCCATAACTCCCTTTTAAGTGCTTTTTATCGGTGCATGCTTCCATGCGTGTTTGCCCCTTCTTAATTATTTTATTCTCTGTCCGAATATTTGTCTCTTTTTTTTTTTTAAAGAATATTTGTCTCCTTTATTGAATTGTAACACTATTTTTTACGTGTTAAGTTTATCGCCCATGTACAATAATCTTTCCAGGTAGCATAAAATAATAATAATAATAATAATAATAATAATAAATAATCTTTCTAGGTACCTAGCTACGTACCTAGTCATTGATATTCCTCCCATGGCCTAACTTCGATTTAGCTCTATTCTTAGAAAAAATATTAATAATAAAAAAGTAAAAGACATTTTACTCCATTTGGTTTGGTCAATACCTAATCCCAACGCAGATTTCCAAATTCTATTATAAGAAATAAAATAGATTAGCGAGCGATTATAAGAGGGATCAAGCAAATAGAATTCGTAGTTCTCTAATCTCTGAAATCTGAAGTTCTGTCTTCTAGGTTCTCGATTTAATCAAGAAATTCTTTGTCCTTAACGAAATGGACAAGCAAAAGAGGCAGCAAACAACCAAAAACATTATTGGTAATTATCAATTATATAATCAATCTTTACAAGAAAATCCTTGATATTACCCCCAAAACTCGTGACACATTTTACGTCGATGCCCACAAAACACACATTGTTTCCTCCGCTAGGCATGCCCCTAATCCCTGTTATAAATTTTCAGTTCCTCTTAATATTAGGTTCCCGATTGTCAATTGTACAAAGCCATAATAGGGATAACCGCCGCCCACCTTAACCACCAAAACTCCCTAGACACTCCAATGGGGTCGCTCCCGTCCCCGCCGAGTCCGGTGACACCACCACCGTCCCCGGACTATTCCTCATTCCAAAATCGAGTCTACGCCGCATTCCGGTTCAGAGAGCCACCGGAAGCGGGCAAGAACATGTCCATTAGGCTTGACTCCTATGATCCGTCCAATAATTCATGGAACTATGTCACTTCAATTCCGGGCCTAATTGAGAACCATGGTCTGAGGGACTTTGCAATGGTCTCACTCAATTGCTCGATTTACATAATTGGGGGTCGATTGTTCCATCAATTTAGGGCTAAAACATCGGGAGAAGAGCCCAGTTCGCCTACCGAAGTAGATGTTAAAGTCCTATCCTCAGTGTTGCGTTACAATGTACGTTCCGAGCAATGGTCCAAATGTGCTCCACTAGCCATTCCAAGGTACGATTTTGCTTGCACCGTGTGTGACAACAAAATCTACGTGGCAGGGGGGAAGTCCACTCTGGCAAGCGCTGCAGGAGTCTCGTTCGCTGAGGTGTACAACCCCGGCCTCGATGAGTGGACCCCATTGCCTAACATGAGCACATTGAGGTACAAATGCGTCGGGGTGACGTGGGAGGAAAAAATCCACGTGGTGGGCGGCTTCGCCGTGATGGAGGGATCTGATATGGTGCCGCTCAATTTCACACCGGAGCGGAGCTCAGCTGAGGTGTACAACAAGCACGAGAGGAAGTGGGACCTCGTGGCGGGGATGTGGCAGTTGGACATTCCGCCTAATCAAATTGTGGCCATTGATGGGAGGCTATTGAGCTCTGGGGATTGCCTTAAGGTTTGGAAGGGACACGTGGAGGCCTACGATTGGGAACAAAATATTTGGAATGAAGTGGAAGGGTCTAGGCTACAAACCCTTAATTGGCCTATATCCAACTCCAACTGTGAGATCAATAGGGCCTTGGTCCAACAACTTTACCTTACAATTGCACCCATTGGAAAGTTTCTCTATTTTTTGGCCGGTTATCGGATGGATGGTGAATTACCAAGAACTAAGTCAATTGTCCACAGATTCGATACATCGGCAACAAACAATGCTTGGACAAGTTTTGAGCCAATGGAAGAGGAGGGTGAGAAAGTACTTTGTAGCCATTGTTGTGTTGTTCAACTCTCCTGATCAAAACCTTCTCTACCAACATAAGCGTTTTAGTACTACCACTACTTTCCTTTTAACAAAAATTAAATAAAACAAAAAAATTATAGATTAAAACTATGGATTCCGGTATCCATTTAGTATAGTCTAAGACATATTTATTTTGAGTTACTTTATTTTACATGCTTGTTTTTGTTTTGTTTTTTTTTTTTTTTCTTTTTGGTGGAAATTATATATAAGCTTGTTTGGAATTTGGATGATCGACCTCTATTGATTTTCCAAACGTTAATGTAAGAAATATAATAAAAACCCCACATAGACTCGTTTTTGCCTTTTCCCGCATGATGTAATTTAGTGCACAGATCTTTTTTTTTTTTTTTTTTGGTGAATAGCACATCGATTTAGTTACAAATTACTTGTTCTAGCAAAATGCAATTTAGATAGCCATAAAGCATTAGTGAATTACTTTATGGAATGGCGTTTTTTTTTTTTTTTTTTTGGTTGCAATCCATTCATATAATTTCTTGAGTTAAGATAATAGTAATTAACATTGTCCAATATAGAAACGGTAGTTTTGCATATGGTTGTACTTAGCGTCTCCTAAAACCACGAACACAAATGAACAAACATGATTCTGACAATGAATTCATGTGGGGTAAGTTGTTATTAATCAATGCAATTCATAAACTCGCCATTGATCATATGTTTACATAAACCAGAAACTATGATCCAAAGCCGGCCAGTTTGGTTGCTTATTAGTCTTGTCGATTCACTTTGGCGTGTTCACTTTATTTATTTGTTTATTTATTATTTTTTAAAGATACTTTTGCTTATGAAAAGTGGACGGATCAAAATTATTTTAAGGCATGGCATTCAAACTACATGGAGATCATGCAGCAACACATAAAAAGCCAGCCCTCTCTCTCTCTCTCTCTTTTTTCCCTTCTCACATGAGGCATTCCTCTATGTTTCAATTTATTTATTTATCAAAAAAAAAAAAAAAAAGGAAATCATTATGCTTGTCCAAAATTAGAAAGAAGAAAAAAGAAGTTAATGAGCCAAAATCATGATTACATATTTGTTTAGCTACTTTCAAACACGTCTTTATTAGTTTGCATGTGTTATATCATAACCAATCTTTATCCGAATTATTAATTTCCTAAAAGTACAAGAAATGACCCAAATCATTATCCCCTAAGCTTTTTCTTCTTTTCCTTTTCAACACTATCTTGTTCTACACTAATTATGCTTGACTTCATAGAGAAAAAAAGGAAGAGGACAAAAAAAAAATAAAAAAGGAAAAGGAAAAACACATACCGGCGTCTATTGCGGGTGTATCACAATTAACATCGACAATTGTCTAAACAAGTGGACCTCATGCAAAATTGACATGAATCCTAACTCAATCCAACGGTTGTAGTAGAACGACAAGCGCAAAAGCTAATAGCCAAACTCTTTCTATGAAAATTATCGTGTCCCTTGGGCCTAAATGTCCCCTAAACCCATGAAAAAAGCCCAAATATGCAGAACCTTCCTCACGAAGCAAAACAAGAGACAACCCAAACTGGTCTCCCTGGTCGGTCCATCTGTAAGGTGGGCCATAACCCATTTGAGTAGGGCCCACCAACTCTCTCTCTCTCTCTCCCTTGTAGAGTTGAGGCAATTCTCAAATGGTTATTAGTCACCGGATCATGAAAATGATCTCCATTTTAAAGCGGTGGTCAGTCAAGGACACTCTCATCTCATCAAAGGGTGTCTGAAAAACTTTTGACACCCTCAAAAGAAGATAACAGAAGAGAAGACGGTGGACCAACAAAACCCAGAAAAAAAAAAAAGAAACTCAGAAAAGGAAACTGCAAAAGAGAGAAAAAAAAAAAAGGGCCCACAATTTCCATTTCAATCCTTCACGTGAGCCGTTGATCTACGTACTAAAATAATCTCTCTTTTTTTTAGAATCTTTTCTTGCTGATTGGTTCTTTTGTTTGTCTTTTTGTCCCAAGAACTAAGATTACTAGAGCTCCGCAATTTCTACACTTGAACACGCAAAATCGCAGGTGTAAGCCTTCCCACGCACGCGTGGGATATTCGATTTGTGTTTCTGTACGGCTGTATATAAATTGGGTTGGTACATAGTAGGATTTTTTTTTTATTTCATCTTAAAGACATGAGTTGTAATATTTAGTTTTAACGATATTAAAAAATTTTTATAACTTAATGATGTTTGAATTAGGTTAGGGCGGAACAGGATGAGTTAAGTGGTCGGGCTCATCATTCAAATAATCAAAATTTAATCCAAAAGTAGAGAGAGGCAGAGAGTCGAGAGGAGAGGTGAAGAGAGGCGGAGAGAGGCCGCCGGCGCTGGAGAGCTTAAGAATCTAAGTCGACTGGTCGAGGAAGAATTGAAGACAGTATATGTCTGTGTGTGGAGAGGAGAGTTGTTAGACGAGAGAGTAGTTAGAACTTAGAAGACAAGACTCAGACATATTTGTGTATATTGGGTTAGGGTATGCGGGTTATTATAGGTTCAATTCACAACTCGTCTCAAACATTTTGAGTCAGACATTTAGTGGGTCAAAAAATAAAAAAATAATACTATAAGTTGTCTTTTTCAAATTAAATTATGGTAAGATGAGTTAAATTTATGAGTTATTTGAATTTATTTACAGCCCTAGCCCTATGTTTATGTATATGTCATGTAGATATTGTTGATGTTGTGATTCTTTTGAAGATGAAAAAATGTCGAAAAGAATCAATGGATGGAGTGTGTGACTTTGACTACAGTGGAGTTTACGGTAGTCAAAAAAATATTTATTTTATATAATCAAATTTAAATTATTAATTTTATTATAATATTTTTTTATCAAAAAATTAAATTTTAAACATTCACAATAAAAAATCTTGATTTGAGTATACATTTTAAATAAATTTAAAGAGAATAACAAAAAAAAAGTGATCATAATCTTTTTTTTTTGTCTCGTTCGCTTCGTAAATTTAAATTTTTAATTTAAATTGAGATATAATATTTTTTAAAAACTTTTTATTGTAATAAAAAAAATTTAATATGACATTTTTTAAAATTTTTTTACTGTATAAATTTAAAATTAAAAATTTGATTTGATGAGAGGCCGTAGTAACTAATTGACACGAAAAATACACGGTTGAGATTGGTTGGGTGTACTATTATTATAAAGAAAAGTAGGAATGAGGTTAGCCAATCCATTAGGCATAGGGGGGAACAATATCGAGGATTAAATGTTCCACGTGTTTGTTAGAGCCTGAAAAGCCCGACAAAGGAACCTGATGTGTCGGTTTTGTTCCGTTGAAGTGAGGACTGAGGAGAGGTGACTTCAGAATCTTTCTTTTTTGCCCTTTTTTTTATTGAAAAAAAAAAAAGAAAAAAGAATCGTAACCCAATTTGATAAAAATATCGAAGTTTTTACATTGTTGTCAAGTTTTGTTTAATTTTGTATCATGTGTTGTCAAGTTTTGTAACTACATATCAGTTATCACGCTCGGTCATGGACGAAGCCACCTATGAACGAGGGGTGGACGGCATTCCACCTAATTTTATTTTTTAATTTTGTACATCTTTTTATTCACCGTATTTAAGAGTGGTAATTCGTATCATGTGTCGTGTTTTAATCATTTTTTTAAGAGCTCGTTTAGTTTGTTGATTCGAATTGATATGTGATTTTATATGAGAGCTTTTTACTGTAATAAAAAAGTTAAATGTGACTGTTTCTGAGAGTTTTTACTGTAGCAAAACTTAAATTCTAAACTCGAATCGGTGAAATGAACGGGGCCTAAATTTACAGTCAATCCGTACACGAACACGACCCGTGACACAACCTCGTTCACTTCGCATATTCAAGTTTTCAATTCGAGCTGAAATGTGACATTTTCTGAGAGCTTTTCACTATAGCAAAAAAGTTAGATGTGACATTTTCTGAGAACTTTTAATTGTAGAAACCTAAAACTGAAAACTCGAATCGGTGAAATGAACGAGGCCAAAGTTTTTTAAAAATCACAACACGAACACGACACGACCATTTATGGGTTGACACGACACGAAAATGACACGTGACACGAAATTGACTCATGAACCCAAAATTGACACGAAATTTTATATTTTTATTTAATTTTTTACATATTAGAAATAACTTAAAATTCATAACACACTAAATTACAATAACATTCATTGAAATTGAGCAAATAACAGTATAAGATTTTAAGTTTAACTATTATGATATCATAAGTTCATAATAAAATTAAAAATATGTAATGAAATATATATGTATTTTTTGGTTTTTTACGCATTTCGTGTCGTGTTCGGGTTAGGCGGACCCAACCCGAAATTGATCCGTATTTTTCTTGTCAATTGTGGATCGACCCAATTCTAATCCGAACATCTTTTTCTCAACAATGACCTGTGAAATTCGTGTCATTTTTCAAATCGTATTGTCCTGTCGTGACTCATATTATCGTGTCGTGATCTATATTGTCTACCCTAACCGCATGCCTCGCTTCAATTTTTTTTGCTCCCTTCCTACGCTTAGATATATATATATATATAATCTAAGTCTCTATATAAACAAAAATGTGACGGAAATGAATACATAACAATAGTATGACCATTTTATTTTGGATAAAAATGAATAGCCATATATCCATGCATTGTATTCGTGAGTAGTGTGTGTGTGTATATATGTGTCATGCGTGTAACTAGTTTCGTTTCCAGATCTCCTCCCATTCAGTATCACTCCAGCTCATGCCACATGTCGAAGGTGGGGATGAGCTGATGGGGTAGCCACGTGGCAAAAGGGCACAGATGGGGACCTAGGGAGTTTTTTTTTTTTTTTTTTTTTTTTTTTTTTTTTTCTTCTTCCTCTAATCAGGTGGGGACCAAGGGATTTTAGGGCTTGGGGAGACAGAGGCACATATCATATGTAATCCGACACGGTGCATGTGGGAAGGGCGCTCTCTATCACTCTCAGTCTCTTGGCTGGCGACCCAATATTATATTA